AAAAAAAAAAAAAAAAAAAAAAAAACTCCTAATGGACTTGTGAAAAAGTAGGCTACTGGGCTCCATCTCAGCTCCTAATTCAGGCTGAAAATAGAGCCCCAGAATCAGAGTCACTCCTGTGTCCATTGACATCTGAGAAGCACTGTCTGACCTTGTTTATAAAATGAAAAAACAAAATAACCTTTTTTATTGTTGATATTTTAGTTTTGGGAACTGAAGAGAGAGAGATTTCACTTGTTATAAAAACTTTTACTATATCTTTTTTTTTCTCTTTTGTACATCTAATTAATTTTCTTTTTTATTCCAGATTTTCCTCCTAGTTCAAAGCAGGAAATGGCGTGATGGCCTTTGTTCCAAAACAGTGGAATATCATCGTCTAGACCAGAACGTTAATGAGGCCATGCCTTCTCTGAAGATTACCAATGATTATATTTTTTAAAGCACTGTGATTTGAGTTTGCTCATTATATAATTTTATTTGCTTGACTTTTTATATGATATTGTGCAGTTGTTTGCCATAGGCAGTTGGTACTTAAATGAGAGGYGCATTTCTCTCTTTTGCCTTGGTGCTTTTGAAATTGAATGTCACAAACAGGGAGTATATGATTTTTAAATCTACATTTTTAGAGCTGAATTCAATCAGGTGTTGTCTGAAATGTGAGTTAAGCATTACCTTACATTTACACTGGTAGTTTTTGTTATTTTCCATTCATTGTACTTGTTCTGGAAGTAATGCTACTTTTAAAGATCCCAGACTTGTAACTAAATTCTAACATAGTTAGTACTATTGACTTAGAGTCATTCTATGCCATCCAGGTACTATTTTTTAAAGACACATTACTTTGCAGTCCCAAACCAAAAGGTGCAAGGGTATATGTAATAGTACTTTGCATTCAAGTAACACACTTTTTTCTCTAAAAGAAAATTGCTTTGTGTATTTTAGGCAATTAAAATACAGTTTAAGATAATGAGACTGCTCAATCCCACTACAGTTTTAGGTAGCATATTAAATGTGTCTAAAAATTCTGGCAGAAGAGACTGAATTTTCAGTGATTGTAGATAAAATATTATATAGATATCATTTTTTTGGTTTGAATTATTGAATTAAATTATAGGTAGAAATTGGTAAAATGTTAAATAGACGAAGAATTACTTTTAGTTAGCAGTTGATTGTACCACAGGTTCCTCAAAAATTTCAAGCAGTGGGCAGAGTTTAAAATTATATCATTTGTTCATTTTGGTTTTTATTGTATAGTAAGTTTGAGTAAATTTTAGGGCCCATTATCACTTAAATAAGACTGTATCTCAGTCTTTCAAATTAAAATTATGCCTGAATGAAATTATTTGTAATTATTTGAAATTATTTCTTGTTTGTTTATTTTTTATAGCAACTGGAAGTTATTTACTGTATTTCCTTTGAGTCTGTCTTTCTATCACAAAGAATTGATCASTATGTAAATAAGTGATTTGAACCATGTTTGACTTACAAGTGTCACTACAACTTTTCAGAAAGCATCACCTCTACTATGTGTTAAACAAGGCCCGGGCGAGCCACAGTCATGTGCTTTATGTAGAGATGGAAGAAGCAGCACCGTCCATCCTTCCTCTCAGCTGGACACTTGACTGCCCCAATGAGGAAAGGAAGCACAATGGAAATACACCCAAACTGTTTTATTGCAGTAATTTTTTTCATATTTGAAATTGTATTATTTAATATTTTGAATAAGATTTAAAAAAATAAATCCAAGATATAATTCCATGATTTTATAATTGTGTTTCATTTTAGTAGTAATGTGATGACAGAGGTCAGTGCTGTCTGGGAGAGGAAACAAACTTGATCAGCTTGCTATCATTCCCTCTTAGCTATAGAACTTTGTAAGAATGCTACCTATATTTTAAATCCTTATTTAGCTCCAATTTCCAACAAAATTGAAAATGAAACAAAGTAGGATGGCAAAGGAAAGGACCTGCTCAATGTGCTCTTCCTAGCATCCTGGACTCCCTATTGTCTGGGATGGGAGCCTTTTCAGCTTGGAGGCTCATCACCCTTTAGTGGATCTAGATCTCCTAGGTGCTTCCTGATGTCCCAGTCTTTGCCACTCAAGTTCCAGTGCTGCCATCAAGCAGCATTTGACTTTTGGAGCTTCAGATTATACATTAATTAAAAATGTTGTTGGAGTCACAGAGGCATCTGCTGGACAAAGGACTGAAGACTCACATTTGAACCTTATATCATTTATGTATGTTATTCATGTGTGTATGATCTGCTCCCTTCTGGATAGACTAGAAACTGTACTCAGTGTTGGTACTGATGGCATAAGTCACCCTTTAGCTTCCTTCTGTGTCTTAACTGAAAAGGAATGTATTGAAACTTGAAAGACAGAAATAGACATTTAGCATTTGTACAGGCTGGCATGCAGGCATGTCTCGATGAGGGTTTCTTGATTTTAGGTGTAAACTCAGGATGAGTGTAAGCTCTTTAGGGAGCATGTTGTTTGCCCCAGAGTCTCTTGAGAATAGGAAGTAGCTGTTGCTGTCTTCCTACCCCCAATTCAACACTGTGCCTGGCACTTTCTAAGATATTCAATGCAATGTTTGAGAAGAAAAAGTAAGATAGCCCAACTCTGCAGAGGATCACATAGTATATAGTTTATGCTAACAAACTGGACACAACGGCTCTTAGGGCTTGAGAGCCAGGATGTAGCCTGTCAGTCATTATCTGAACATCCACATTTCTACTTGAAGCTGAAACCAACACTGGCTATGAGTTGTCACCCTTTCCCCCAAATACCAGGTCTTGGTTAGAGCAGTTGCTGCCGCTTGAGGTCAAGGTTGCTGCTGACACAGCTGCCAGGCCTTCTAGCTCTCTCCGCCCCTGTTGTGTATGTATGATGATTGCACTTCTGCCTTAGCTGGTTTGCTGCTCTAATAGTTGTCTCTCTTATTGGCTCTACCTGAAGCTGTTCCATCTTGTCTTCTGAGGGCAAGATGTTTTCCAAGTCAACAGAAGAAAGCTATCTTGAGGTTTGAGGTTTATTTGGCCTGATCCAGCACAGCCTTGGCTGTAATTTTTACAGTAGGATTTTGTTCACTTGTGTTTTCACTTTGACACGAGGAAGGGAAGTTGGTTGGACAGATTCTGGAATGGAATGAGGACCATTTCTGACTCATATRTCAGGAGCCTGATCTCTCATGACGTTCTGTCTAGGCAGCTTAAGTAACTCAAGGGATTTGATTTTGGATAAGCAACAGCTTCTACTGAATGAGCTCTTAAGTTTATATCTCTTTCAGCTCCTTCTGAAAATAATCCTTGCTTTGTTTTCTATCAGTAATGAAGCTCGAGATTTAAAAGCCCTTCCTTCCTACTTAGGAAGTCTTTATCTTTCACTCTAATATCTCTGCACTGAAACCTTCAACTGCCTAATTTCTCTGCTGGGAACCCCTTTACTTCCTGGATGCCCTCTCTTGCAGGCATGAGGGTTGGGTGTACTGACACCTGAGACCCTTCCATGGGAAGCAGTGTCTTGGAGCGGGTTAGAGCTGTGGTGGGCCCTAGAATCTCAGAGGTCAGGATACCCATTCTGGGCCTGACCCCAGAGCTCAGAGTCTTCCCCAGGACATTCTGTGGCCTCTAGAAAGAGGCCAAACATATTTCCTGCCATTTCCTTGGGAGTGAGGAAGGGTCAGGGTTCTCAAGGGATAACAAACATTTTGGGCCTTATTGGGGCTAAAGTTGGCTTGGCCCATGTTGCTTCTACTTGGTCTTTAGAAATACAGACCTAGGGAGAAAAGCAGGGAAAGGATGGGTGTGGAGTAGGGCAGGGGCTGGATGACCTTGATTGAGCTTTTTGTTACTCAGTTCCTATTTGTTTTTGAGGG